TCGGGGGAGGAATAGATGAGAGAAGAGAGAGAGAGAGAGAGAGAGAGAGAGAGAGAGAGAGAGAGAGAGAGAGAGATACTATAATGGAGGGAGCCATTATAGGTTTGAAGAGAAAACTGACTCTAGAGAAATGTCCAGAGACCTATGAAACTGACCCCAGCTAACAATTTGAGCAACAGTGGAAAGGCTACCATAAATGCCCTTCCCTGATAATGAGATTGATGACTAACTTATCCACCATCATAGAACCCTCATGTAGTAGCTGATGGAAACAGAAGCAGACACCCACAGCTAAACACTGAGCTGAACTGGAATCCAGAATCAGAGAGGGAGGACAAGACCAGGCTACAGAAACCCACAGAGACAGCTGACCTGAACAAGGGGGAGCTAATGGACCCCCCAGACTGATAGCTGGGAAACCAGCATTGGAACCACTTAGACCCCCCTGAACATGGGTCTCAGTTAGAAGGCCTGGGAAGTCTAAGGGACCTCTGACAGAGGAACCAGGATGTATCCCTGGTGCACAAAAGAACTTTGGGAGCCTTTCCCCATGAACGGATATCCCCCAATCTAGAGGCAGGACTTGACAGATTTTGTTGATCCCTCCTGGAAGGCATCACTCTCCCTATGGAGTGGAGGATGGGTGGAATGGGAGGGTGGTCGGGGTTCATGGGAGGAGGGAGAAATGGAGGGAGGGCGAGGGAACTGGTATTAATATGTTAAAAAAAAAGAAAAGAAAAAGAAAAAGAAAAACCAGAAATGAAACTATGACAGGTTGTTTGATCTGAGTTATCATCCACCCTCAGCACAAAGGACCAAGAGGAAAATATGACTGATTCTGCCAGACACTAGCTTAAATGAGAACTTCAAAAAGGGCCTCAGTTCAGATACCCAGAGAATGAGGAAAGAGTGCATGTGACGATAAAGATGGACACAGACATCAGAAAATCACCTAGTATTTCCTATAATTATTACTAAGTATGTTCCTATAATTATTACTAAGTATGTTTTGAAAAGCCATATGGAAACCTGCTACTCTAGAAGATTCCTAAAACAAATAGTTTAGTTTGCATTATGTCATATAAAGGAGATGATGCTCCAACTACAAATAATATGCTACCAAGTAAAATTTCAAGTACAAAGATTTGGTTACATCTTGTGAGTTGTTGGTCAAAGGAGTCCCTTTGAATTCCCCCAAAACATTATAGGCTATTGTCAATACTTTTGATTACCTTCTACAAACTGATGGTAAGACCTTATTATTAACTTATGAACTGGAGAAACTGAGCTGGTGTCTAACATATCTATTGTTAGCATTAATAGTGCTGGAATGTACTCTGCACAATACAGGAGAAAAAGAATTCCAGTCTCACACATCTACAAATCCTGTAACCTAGAACAGTGTCCTAACTTCAAGATATATTAGTACAATAAAGGCACAAATGTTATGTGAGTAATTAACAACTTTTTAATTGGATTTAAATCCAACTCCATCAGATGGATCCTACACATTACACTGACAATGATACCAAGATCCTGATTTTACATAGGTCATGAACTTAGGGAAAATCTAATAGTATTATTCTGATAAATGGTCAAGGTAATAAAGTGATTCCTGATGACTTATTGCTATGGCCATAGTTCAGTGCATTGCTCAGATGTCATCAGAAAAGCTATTTTTTTTTTTTTTGCAATTGATAGGAATTAACACAGAGGCTCAAAACTGGACAATGTGTGGAGAGTGAAAAATTGGAACACTCATTCCACAACAGGATGTTTTCACAAAATCCATCTACTCATGGTGTTGAGATCTATGAAAACCAGAAGATGGATAAATTGTAGGAGCCATAAGTGTTGGTTGACTTAAACAAAGCAGAGAATTCCAGAAACAGGATTTGCGCACATTTGGTAGCATTCATGACACTTGCACAGGTTCAAACAAGACAAAATTCCAGCACAGAGAAATGGATGTAGGCACAAAACCTCATTCCATACAAAGGAGCACTATGCAATTGATTCCATCTAGGAAAGGCAAAGTCAGTTGTCTTCAACGAATTGTCACTGTTTGTATCAACCACAATGCAGTGTAGCCCTTATATCCAGGTTTAATTGTTGAACACAAAACAAACTCCAAAGTTATTTACTTGATGGGGGCCTCTTATTTAATTTTGGTTTGGCTTGGGGTTTTGAATGTTTATTTGTGCTTTCATTTTTAGAGCTAGTGAATAAAGTTGAGTAGGTAGAAATTTGGGGAGGGTCTGGAAGGTGTTGGGTATGGTGAAAATTATGAACAAAATATATGACATTAAACAAATTAAATAAAATATAGGAAAATAATTTTTAAAAAGTATCATTTAAAAAGTGTTGATCTGTACAAAACCTGGGATATATTGAATACTGGGTGCTATCTTTGACCAAAATGTTCTCAAGAGAAGAAACTAAAACAGCTAAGAGCTATCTTTGAAATTGGTCAACATCTTTAAAATTAAGGTAATAAAATTAAAACTACTTTGAGATATTATTTTACTCCAGTCAGAATGGATGGCAATTATTGCAAAAAAAAAAAAAAACCCAAAAAACAAAATGTAATGCTGGCGAGAATAAATATTGGAGAGCATGTAGGGAAAGGCTAACCTTCATTAACTCTTAGTGTGATTGTAAACTGTTACAATCATTTTGGAAAACGGTGTGTGTGTGACTTGGTCCAGATACACAATTCCCTTGCATATGATGAAAGAATTTTATATGCTAACCCATAAATAGTTCCCTACCCAGGGAACTATTCATTATTTCTCTATTCAAATATTTAAGAAATGAATACAACATAGATGTTCTTTACCAAATGAGTAACGTATGAATATATGGTACATATATACAATAGAATTCTACTGAGCTGTGCAGAAACCTGATATCATGACATTTTCAGATAAAGAGGTAGGACTAGAAAGTATTATAATGAGTGAGGTAACCCAGACACAGAAACACAAATGTTGAATGTTATCTCTTACTGCGATTCCTGTCCTTGTATATGTACATGTGAATTTATAAGCAGAAATAAGTACAAAACCAAGAAAGTAAAATGGGACCAATTGGGGAAGCAACTCTAGATAGAGCAATTGCATGCAGGTGCTACGAAGGGAGGAATAAAAGACACAGAGGGGCTTTATAAAATAATTTTATAAATTTAAATTGGGAACATGCTTGTTTTACACATTAAACACAGTTACCCTCCCACCCTCCCCTGTTCCTCCACCAACCCCCATCCCACCTCCTTTCTGTCCCCAGGGAGGGTGAGGTAGTCCATGGGGAGTCTTCAAAGTCTGTCATATATTTGGAGCAGGGCCCGGGCCCTCCCAGAGGGGGGCTTTTAACTGTTTCTCAGTTCACAGGGAGTTATACAGAGTGACATAAAAGTAAGGATAATAAATAATACTAAAGGTGCTTGAAAAGACAATCATATTATCTCATATTTATCTAAAAAGACACATAAAATGCTTGTATATGTGTATATATTAACATGTATTTTTACAAATTTGTGGCACTTATAATAATATTCCCTGCCCCAAGTGCCATAGACTATGAAAGAAAACCTCAGTGCCATACATGAGAACCCTCCTGGGAAGTTTGGAGGTCAAGAGACCTCCAAAACAGCAATATGAGCTACTGTTGCCCTTGATTGGCTCACAGACCTTGAAGCTAGTTTTCTGTTGCAGAAGCCACAATACACTTCAGCACAGAAATTGGGGGACGTGAACTGAAACTGACCCGGAATCTCTTCCGTGAGAACTGGTTTTCCCGAAGTGAAAGCTGCAAAGGAGGAAGTGCAATCGCAGAGCCTCTCCAGGTGGGTTATATGTGAACTGTACAAAAACTGGACTGGCAAGACAGGCACAATGGGGCAATAGTGGAACTTTCACTTTGGGGGTTTCTAGTGCTGTCTAATTGGACTAAGGCCCACTCATCCAAAGGGAAGACATGCCTGGTACTATAAACATTCTAATGACAGTTTCTTAAACAAGTATACTTTTTAGCTGTTTTCTAAGTGCCTGTCTTTAGACACACAGGTAAATATAGTCCTCACCCCTCATCAAAGAAACTACTTTTTGCAATATATGGAGACTATCACAAAATCTCACAACTGGTCAGAATGCAGAGAATAATTGACTCAGTGGTGCCCAACTCCAACTGATATATCTGCAATGAATCCCTTCAACACAAGGCTTTGGAAAAAACAAAGAGGAGTAGAAGAATGTCCCCAGAGGCGGATAATCCCTGCTGATAGTGTATATATCTTCTGGACATCACAAGGAAATACACCTATTTACTTGCAATAGTATATTTACACCAATGAACCAGCAAAATGGCACTTATGAGGATGGGTAAATTCTATATGGTCTTACCCCTCAATGCAGGAATATAGCAAGGCAGTGGCTGCCAAAAGACAAAGAATCATTTGCCTTAGGGGGGAAATCACATATTGGTTGTCCAATCACAAGTGCTCAGCTCAGAATACATTCACATACACACAGAGCTAAATGGACTCTGTATGTTATATGTACATGTGATCATATACATGCATCAACTAAACATCACAAACATGTGAAAGGGAGGGATGTTTGGGGAGGGTAGAGGGAGGGTGGGAGTCATACAGTGCACCCAAATGCACCATGACCTCAAAAACAAACTCTTATAAAAGAATTGCACATGTTAAAGTTATGTATGATTTCTGCTATTTTATGCACATTTCAAACCATTCTGAAAGCTAAATTACATTAGAAAACATTTTAAATCATGCCCCATTCCTATATCCTAGTACTTGTTACTGCATTTCTAGATTGGGGTCATGAACTCACGCTTACAAATGCTGTAGAATGATCTCTGAATGAGTTCACAGTTGCCTCATACAGCAACCTTTGACTGGTTGTTACAAAATCTATTTTTCCTTACCAGAAGCTAGTTTAACAATGAACTATGTTTTGTTAATGATTTCTTTTGTCTGTACTATAAACTTTACCACTTAAGATTTGCTATAAGCTGAACAGTTGGCTACAGCTGGAATCCTAACAGCACCCACAAAGAGCTCTTTGCCATGTCAGACTACACTTGGTTTGAAGGAATTCCTTTCCCTATTCTAGGGTATAAAAAAGAAATACTTACAGAAACTTGTAATAAGTTTGTGATCAGAGATGAAGACACGATCATAGTGACTTACCCCAAATCAGGTAAGGACCATCAGTAAAAGTGATCCTAAGTTTTATGTGGAAGCTTAAGGCTTTGATCCTCATTCATTTGGGTGACAAATGGACTGCTCTCTATATATGAGGTTTAAAATTCTTTGTGAGCATGAAGATCTTGTGTGTGAATGCATTTCCACTCAAACTAAGATGTCTCGACTGGTCTGTGTTGGTGGAGGATAAGTTAAGGTGAAACAGCAGTGGCTCTGACACTGTTGTGTCTCTGTGTGGAAGACAGAGTGGGAGAGGGAGGATGATAAGAATAAACAGAAGAAATAGCATCAAGAGGGATGGTGTGGAGGAAAGAATATGTGGAGGAGAGGCCACTGTCTGGTAGAAGAACTACCATGACCCTTGTCCAGGTAGTGGAAAGAGTCTCACAACACAGGGAACCAAAAAGAGGCATCGTGGGTGTCTTGGGGAGAGCTATTAGATGGGTGGCAGATGCAGTGAACATTAATTAAGTATTAGCTTGCTGTGTAGCATGAATAATAAAAGGCCAGAGATAGATATTGGGGTTCAAGCTGAAGATCAGAAAAGCAAATTAGCCAGCCAGTAGCTCTTAATTCTACCAAGGCTGAAATGAAGATTCTGTCTTTCCTTTGGAAACTGAATCTCTCATCAGACACTTTACTTTTTTCCTTATATACCTCTCTAGTGCTGGGTTTAAAGTTGTGAGTTTTGTTACTTTTAGACTTGTTCACTCTAGTGTGATAAGGCTGGTCTTGGACTCACAGAGATCCATTTACTTCTGTCTCCTGGGTCCTGGGATTAAAAGTGTGTATCACCACTTCTTGGTATCTGTGGCTAACTGGTGTGGCTACATTTACCTTCTGATCCCCAGTCAAGCTTTATCAAGTTATAAATGATATGTCTCCACATCGCTGACATCAAAAGTTCAATAACATGGAAAAGCCAAATTGTTGGATTGCATGAAAAAGATTCACACATAAACCCAGAGAAAGAAGCAATAGAAATATCCATTGATAAAAGAGCATGTAAATACAAGTGAGTGTGGTAACTAGATGCAACACAATTTATGTACCTTAAAGAGAAGCAATACTCATACATTCACTGCAGCATGGATGTATCACAACAGAATTTTATTTAATAAAAGGATCAAATCTCAAGGACAGATGCCATGACTGCATTGCTCAGAAATATCTGAGATAGTCAAATTCCCTGCACCAGAATATAGAATGATGGTGGCCCACGATGGAGGGATGTTCAATAGGCAGGTGGAGTCTTTTGAGTATAGAGTCTCAGTTTTTCCAGTGTAATCATTGGGGATGAACTGGATGAATATACTTCATACTTACACCATGTAGACACTGGGAACACCACATGTTTGTGTGCTTTAAAGCAACTGCAGTATAAATTGTACGGGCATTTATTCTACTTGAGGCTTTCTCACAAGTACTATTGAAGTGAGTTACCATATCTTTTCCTTCTTGTTCAGGAACTAACTGGCTGGTTGAGACTGTCTCCTTGATTCAGAGCAAGGGGAATCCAGAGTGTGTCCAATCCATGCCTGTCTGGGAACGTTCACCCTGGATAGAAACTGAAATAGGACAGAAATATTTGATCAGTAATGAAAGGCCACCTCTGCTCATCTCTCACCTTCCCTTCCATCTTTTCCCCAAGTCTTTCTTCCATTCCAAGGCCAAGGTCAGTGTCCAGTGGTTGAGAAATCTTGAGCAAATAAGCTCATTGACCTTATTCTACCATGATGGGCCCTAGAGCTCTGCCTGAAGTGCACTCTGATTGTGTTGTGTTGGGTGTGGGAGGGAATCTGGGATTCTTATCCCAGGTGACATGTCTCCTCTCCAGAATACATCAGAGCACACAGCTGTCAACCACCACATGATGATCCTGGCTGGATGTATGAGACGAAGTTAAATATCAATTAGAGCATCCAGGAAACTACATGTACAAGATAAGCAAAGTTCAAGCTCTCATGTCCAGTGAATACTTCCCTTTTGCTGTCATTAATGTCAATTAGCTAATTTTTGTTTTACATAAGCCCCATGCCTATTGGGTGAATCATCCAAGGCAGAGTTACTCACAGGGGAAGCCGCCAGAGCAAGCACCAATAGTTTAGTCATGGCCATTGCTCAAAGGACATGACTCATCTGTAGCCACTGTGACTTGGTGTGTCTAGCTGTCCATTCAGAACAGTAGCCACAATAATTGCCCATGTCACTGATAGAGGATCCCCAGATTTGATCAGAGATAGCCAGGCTCTGATCTATCATAGCATCTTATTAGTAAGAAAATTCTCTGGAAATATCTCCACCAGAGAACCTAAAAATATTTAATGCTTAAACAACAAAGGTAAACTTAGAGAAATTAGTTCTCTTAAAACTATCACAATCCCTGCTGCAAAAAAGGACTTTGGGAGCACATTCCCCATGGAGGGATACTTCCTTAACCTAGAGGCAGGAGGGAGGGCCTAGCCCCTACTCCAAATGACTTGACAGATTTTGTTGATCCCTCCTGGAAGGCATCACCCTCCCTGTGGAGTGGGGGGAATGAGATGGGAGGGTGGTCTAGGGGGCATGGGAGGGAGAGGGAATTGGGATCGATATATAAAATAAGAAAAAAATAAATGTATATATAAAAGAAAATATCACAATTAAGTTGTGTCCTATATGTCTACATTATCTGGATTTGGCAAACTCTTGGCTGGAGATATTGAGGTCTAAGGACATGAATGCTGGGCTAATGTCACAAAGAGCATTGGTACAAAACATAGATAAAATATAGATCTTATTTTATTAAGATTATTAGTTACTTTAAACTTATTTATTTAACTTTTTGAGATTATAATCACACTTATCATTTACCCTTCCTCTTCCTCCCTCTAAGCTTACCCATATGCCCATCCTTTGCCCCTTTCAAATTTATGGTCTCTTCTTTCATTAATTGCTGCTACCTGTACATGTAGCTACATTTTTCTCAATATTTAAATACAACTTGTTTAGTCTGTATGTTACTTGTATGTATGTTTTCAGGGCTTATGATTTATCATTGTATAACCCATTGCTATGCTTTTAACAGGGAGATTTCAATTCCTCTGACTCTACATTTCTTCATTGCCAGAATGTCTTGGTGTTCACCATTTGTCAATGACACACTGGCTTTATGTTCTTTACCATTATTCTTCTGAGAGTTGTATTTGATAGATACACTTACACCAAACAATTGTCTTGCCAAATTACAGATAGATTTAGCACAGCACTCATCAACTTGTATAAGCAAGATGTTCTTTCACAGCGGATGCATGGTCTTTTACTTTGTAAGTTATTAATCTTTATAACTATAGAATTAATCTTGGATTTTGTTATAGTTGTTTTGTTTTTACAGTATTAGTGATTTCAATATTTTTGCTGTTCCAGTTTTGTAAACCAAATAAAATTGTATAAAATGATTCTGAGTATACATATTTTATATTTATATATTTTGTACAAATAAAAATAGTAAGTGTTTTTAGAAACCTCATGTATATTTGTTTGCATTTCATATAACTTGTGCTAGTTAAAACGTGGAGAATGACCATATTGACCTTTAAGTGCATTTTTTTTCCATTTAAGGTGATATATGTCATGAGAAATCCCAGAGATGTTCTTGTGTCTGGTTACTTTTTCTGGAGTAAGTCAAACCTTGTCAAGAATGCAGACTCACTGTCAACTTATTTTGAATGGTTCCTCAAAGGAAATGGTGAGTGCCCTATTTGATATAAGTGTCTGGGAAGGCTCATAGACATTTATTTATTTATTTAATTTATTATTTTACATGTCCATCCCTCCGTCTCTCTCTCCCTCCCTCCCTCCCTCACTTTTACCCTCTCTGCCATCTCACATGCACCCTGACCACCCTCCCCTCCCCCTACCCCAATCCCATATGTAGGGGAATGCCATCCAGTTGGGGTCATGTAGATCTGACAGGCCATGTGAAGTAGGGACTAGGGCTTCTCTCCTGTCTCTAGGTTAAGGCAGTTATCCCTCCATGGGGGATGTGTCCGCAAGGTCCTTTTGTGCACCAGGGATACATCCTGGTTCCACTGTCTGAGGTCCCTTAGACTGCTCAGTCCTTCTGGCTGAGACCCATATTCAGAGGAGCTTGAGTCAGTCCCATGCTGGATTCCCAGCTATCAATCTGGTGGCCCGTTAGCTCCTCCTTGTTCAGGTAAGCTGTCTCTATGTATTTCTGGAGCCTGGTCTTGTCCTCTCCATCTGCATCTGGGTTCTAGTTCGACTCAGTGTTTATGTATGGGTGTTTGCTCCTGTTTCCAGCAGGTATTAGATGAGGGCTCCATGGATAAGTTAGTTGTTGATCTCACTATCTGGGCAGGGCATTTATGGTAGCCTTTCCACAAAAGCTCAAATTGTTAGTTGGTGGTAGTCTTGTAGTTCTCTAGACCTTTCTTTGGTTTCAATTTTATCTTCAAACCAATATTGGCTCCCTCTTTTATGCTCTCTATGTCTCTGTCTCTCTCTTTTATTCCTACCCGGACTCAATCTTCCTAGTTGCATGTGTTTTCCTCTCCCCCACTCACTTTGTCCTATTTCTCTCTCCATTCATTGCCCCCCCCTTCCCCTGTGCTCTGGGGGACTTGTCCCTTCCCGCTTCTGGCTCACAGACATTTTTAAGACAAAGTGAGATATAGCTTAGGCTGGTCTGAAACACTCTATATAGTCAGGGATGAGCTTGAAACTCTTCTTCTTCTGAATCTCCCTCTTGAGTTCTTGGGCTACAAGCACCTGCTATCATGTTCTTTTAGCTCAGTATTGGAGCTCAAGTCGTAATATCAAGAATGTTATTTAACTTGGCTACATTCCTAGACTTCAATGTATTCTGTAGCCTTCACTTGGTTCCCTATTATCTCTCTCTATGTTCAATCAGTTGATAGTTTACGTTTCATCTCATTTTGAATGTAATATTGAAGTCATCCTGTTCTCACACACCATTGCACAACAAGTTCTTACTTGTCTGCCTATTGAACATTACTGCTCACTAACAGACAGATCTTGTGGCTGTTTTGTTTGTTTGTTTGTTGGATACATCCACTAGGTCTCCTTACTTGACACATATCAATTAAAGTGAAACAAAATAGGTAATATCCAGGCATAATAGGATGGAGCAGGCCTACAATCACAGAAACAATGCCGAAGAGATGAGTAGATCAACAGGTCAGGGCCATCTTAATCTACATACCAAGACATGTTGGCATACTTTTTTGAATCCCTTTTTAAAAAGTTCCTTTTAAAACAACTTCTAACAAAGAACACTGTTAATTATTATATAGATATATGTTATTGCCTTATTTTCTGTGCCATTGCTAATTTTCTTTTGTGTTTTATTGTTGTTTTACAATAGGATCTGTTATATTTTAGATTGACCAGAAATTCATTATGTACTTGAAAATACATTGAACCTCTGGTCTTTTCTTGTCTCTACTCCCTGAGTTTTGGTGTTACAGATGTGTGCCACCATATTCAGTTTGGTTTTCAGCTTCCTTGTTATGTGTCTAGCTATGTGTATTTATGTTGATGTGGATGCAAATGTGTGCAGACTGATGATCTTGTGCTAAAGACAGACAATAATATCAGGTGTTGAGCCTTAATTTCTACTGTGTTTGAGACAGTGTCTTTCTTTTTGCTCATCCCTGTGTGTGCCATATTAGCAGGTTCAGTGCTTCTGGGTATTCTCCACATTCCACATCATAGAGTGAACCCTAGGCTGCATCACCATCTTTTAATCATTTCTGAGGATTCAAACTTAGGTCCTCCTCACACATGCAATGTAAATGTTCTCCACCGAGACACCACATGAGACAAGCTTTCACTTTTTTTTTAAGTGACTTAATTTTGCCGTGTACTGAGCAATTCTCTTCCTTTCTGTAATCATTTACTCCAGATTTCAATCAAATCTTAGATTCCTTGAATCATATTTCCTACTGCTCTGACGCTGGCTCATGTTTTATCTTCTCTCCACACTTGATTCAGTTAGTTTTTCATATAGCAGAGAACAATGAAGGTGTTCAGTGGGGGCTGAGACATAAAGAGACTACAGTCAGTCCAGGAACAGGGAAGATCGTGTGACTGTTAACAATCACATCCCAGTAGTACTAGGAATGTATATAAAGCTTGGGATGGATATAAAAGGCTAAACCTGGAATGTCTCAGGTTTTCTGTGTTTTGGAGGCCTGGGTCTTCAGGAGTCACTATTGAGAAGTAATGGAACCTAACATGTGAATACCAGTGGGATGGGATCTCCCTCAGAAAGGGTTAAGATAATTCTCCAGACATGATGGTAATAAAAAGTTCAAACATGCCCATGCCCACAAAACTTTATCTCTATTGTTTTCATCACTATTCACAAACTCATATATCTGTCACTGCAACCTGCCAGGAGAATGTCTTCATGTCTTCTCATGGTATCTCAAGTCTATAAAGAGAAGGGTTTGCTAATGAACTTGATTTTATCAGCTCATCAACTGTGTGTGTGTGTGTGTGTGAAATGTTGTTGCCATGAGAAAGAGCCTTCAGCAACTCAGGGATTGGGGGAAACCACTGAGTCAGTGGAATAATCACTCAACTTGAAGTTTCTTTCTGAGTGAGGAAAACTTAATTCTCTGCAGCCAGTGAAAGGGCCTCAGATTAACTCTCCGGGACTGTAATAAATGGAAAATAATACACACACATTTAGTGTCTTTACACCACCCTCTCTCTCTGTTGTTCTTTATACTTTTACACCTTATATACCCCATCAAAATCTTCCCGACAATACAAAAAGTATGATGTAGTGTCATCCTACTTTTCAAGTAAATTGTTATGATGAATATACATAAAACACATGTTTTTCATTTCCTTTATATTATTAAACATCCTATTATGAATGAAAAACAAATTATCCCAAGAACCCACATGTGATCATATCTAAAAAACTTATTATAGATCAATCCAGTGTAAGCAAGCAAGGTATTTTCCAAGCCAGTTATTTCACTAGCAAGCTGTATTTTGCAGTAACGAAGTGGATAAATTACTTTATTTCTTATATCAAAAGATAATCTTACAAGGGGAATTTGAAGAATCACAAATCTAAACTTTTATATATGCAAAACGCTCACTCTTCTACATTTTAATTCCTCTTGATGCATACCCATTCACCCTGTGCATCAACAAATTTTTATATTGGGAAGATGATGTCAGAAATACGCACAAGGAATTAATCAACATATTTGATCATCAACCTTTCCTAACAAGAAAAGCACAGCAGCTAATATGAACTGGGGTACTTTATTCTGGTTCCTTCACATCATTGAGTCCCTCTCTCAATTATGTGCCTTTCTAAACTTTGGATTATTTCATCATGTTTTTCAGCTTAAAACTATTAACAATATCATATTAATCTAAATTTAAGTCATATTCATAGTTTAGTTTTAGCTATGATACACACTGAAAGCTATGAACACATCTCCCAACATTAAGATTAAAAAAACCTTAGCTAACTTAGCTTATGGGTCACAATTGTTTTCTTAATCATTACCCTAGCCATAGTCCATATTTCTCCTCATGAGAAAAGACTTGTGTGATATTTCTTTGTTCTTTATTTTCTATCTTTTGAAATCCCTGCTGTATCACAGGAAGGGGCAAAATGTTATCTTGCTTTTACCTATGTTAGTTTTCCATTAAGCTTTGCTTCCGGGTGGTCAAGTCTTCTGAAATTTTATTGCCACCAGCTGGTCCTGTGTCATGGCCACCAGTAGAATGTCACATTGAGTACTGTAAATACTGGTTTGACTTTTCATAGTAAAACTAGCTGTCATTTGCAGAAAAGTGAAGCCTATCAGGCAGACCTCATATCCATTTTTTTGTATTCAACACTTCCTTCCTCCCTTTACACAGTGGCATATGGGTCATGGTTTGAGCACATCCGTGGCTGGCTGTCCATGAGAGGAAGTGAAAACTTCCTGCTGCTGAGCTATGAAGACATGAAAAAGGTAACTGCCATTCTTACAGCAACCACACAACCTCTCACCAACTTACCCCATGCTGCAGCCCACATATCCTCCACATTCCCACTCCACCTACTTTGTAAGGGTTAGGCTCATGAAGAGTTCCTAAAAGTGAGATTATGCCCCGTGTCCTTTTTTGACCTGGATACGATGGCATTTCCTATCCAGTCTACATATCCATAACCCTCATCTTCTATACCCCACTCCACCTTGAGTTAGAGTGGAATATCTCACACTTGAACTACTGATTGTTTTGTAAAAATTCTGTTTATGCAAGACATTCCACACATCCGATAACCCAGTGATGAGTGACAAATGGGTAAAGCAGTTTAATTCCACTCTGGTGCTCAAACGTATGCCATCACCCTTTGACCAGAAGAAGAAGCACAAAGGCATGACACCCATCTCTGAATCCTGGGGAGAGTACAAGTGCTAGAGTCACATGAACAGAACTCAAGACTCAAATCTGACCAGGTGTGTGCAGGGTGGGGTCAATCAGGGAGCACAGTGTCCTGTGCTGTTTACTACAGAGTTTCTGCATGGTGGGCTAGAATACAGTGGAGATTTCAAAAGTTTTATTAAATAATATAAATTTTTTCAATATTACATAAGGCATATATCTTAGTAGATTGATAGGCTATAACATTGTCTGATCATGGCAGGTTTCATTTAACTGAAATGCCCCACAGAAGGTTAGAAATATGGTTAAGTACTGTGTGTATGACTCACATATCTCTTATTTTAATAACTAAAGAAAATATCTTTCCAGGTAGTTATATTACTCTAAACCTAGCATTGGGAGATAGAGACATGCTCAGTAGTTCAAGGCCATGCTTCATTGTACGGTGGTCTTGAGGTCAACCTTGGATATACGAGACATTATTTCAAAAGATCATTAAGAAAAATAATTTTAAGTTCATTTGTATATTTTATTTTCACTTAGTTAAAATATCCTTCCTATAATGATGGAAATATAATGATAACAAACATATAAGACCAAAAATATTCTTATTTGATCAGCAGCTCAAAAGTTTAAATAGTTTGGAAGTTTGGGGTGAAAGGTAACCATCATTTACATAGCACAGATAAAAGTATCAACTTTACTTTTAACTGCATAAGAAAAAAATACACTAAGCACACAGTCTGCCAGAGAAAACAATAGCTCACCCTTAGAACTCTTCAAAAATTTTAGTTAAAGAGGATAAGAAACAGTCTTACAGCTAGACTCTGGCGATGATGGTTACTGAAAATTGTGCATTCTTTGTTTTTGTTTCTTATTATTATATTTTTATTATATAAAACCATTTTTAAATTTAAGCTTATTATGCTCACATTACTTCCCGCCCATGATTTCTTCCACATCTTATCACCCTCCTTACCCAACCAACTTTAAATTCTTTCTCAAAAAACAAATTGAAAACCCAATAAAACAACCCTGACCAAAATAGTAAAACACTGAAAGAGAAAAAGTTGAGACACTGAACTGTAACCAAATAAAAGGACACATGCACACAACACTGTGGAGTCTATTCTATGTCGGTCACCTAACCTGGACCACAAAGACTGCTCTAGAATGGTTTATATAGCCATTGTCACTACATTGGAGAAAACTGGTTTTTCCTCTCCCAGCAGGTATAAATGATAGTTCAGTTGTTAACCGTTACCTTCGTGGCTACATTTTCACTCATTCATTTTAAAAGTTATAACAAAATTAGATAAATATGATGAAACAATATTATCACCTAAAATTTGGACAAGACAAACCAACAGAAATAAAACAGTGCAAGAAAAGGCAAAAGCAGAGAACCACATGTTCACACATCCAAGAAGCCCGTAAGAACACTGAGCTGGAAGCCCTGTTTATAAGCAGAGAAGTGGTACAGGCTGCTGTGACCCTGTGCATACTGCTGCAGTCTGTGGGTTTATAGTAGCTTTTCTCATGTTGGTGTGGAGAACTTGATTTGTTGGTGTCCTTCCCCTCTCTCACTCTCCTCCTCCTCTTCCTTCTCCTCCTCCTTCTCCTCCTCCTTCTCCTCCTCCTCCTCCATCTCCTTCTCCTCCTTCTTCTTTCTCCTCCTCCTCCTTCTGAGTTCTTTGTGCTCTGAAGGGAGGCATTTGGTGGAGGCACACCATCAAGTACTGATTGTTCAAAAGTTTCTCACTGTGTGTACTGCCTGGCTGTGGGTCTCTATATCTGCTCTCAACTTCTTTGGGAGAAAGCTTCTCTGATTGCTGCTGAGTAAGCACTAATTGGGAGTCATGATGTCACTCATTTTTTTATGTTATTATTTTTTTCTGTAAGTGGCTTGTATTATTTGGTTTTCATATCATTAACCAATGCAAAAGCCATGGTAAAACATAATTTGAAGAGAGAAATAAATCTAACCACCATGTGCCCAGGAAGGGAAAAGCATACAAACATAAATAACATGTATGAACTACTTGCCACTGAACACAATGCCTTGAGTCTGTTAACATGTCACAAATATTGCTAAAACAAAGCTCCCACCAATTCTATAAATGTAAATCAAAATAACCCTGAGATACCATCTTACTCCTGCCAGAGTAAATTAGAAACACCAATGACAACTTATGCTGGAGAGCACGTGGAGAAAGGGGAACACTCCTCCATTGCTGGTGGGAGTGCAAACTCATACAGCCATTTTGGAGATCAGTATGGTGGATCCTCAGAAAAATGGGAATTCGTCTACCACAGGACCTGGCAATCTTCTCTTAGGCATAAACCCAAATGATCCACATCCGTGCAACAAAGACATCTGTTCAACTATGTTCATAGCAGCATTATTTGTAATAGCAAGAACCTGGAAGCAACCTAGATGCCCCTCAACTGAAGCATGTATAAAGATGATGTGTTGCTAATTTTTTTATGCAAGTAGTATTTGGTTTTAATCGAGGTTCACAGTCTATAGAGTCTCTGGTCACTATGGCAGTGTCAAGTATGTGTTCTATCTTAAGGAGTGGGCCTTAAATAAAATCAACTATTGGTTGGTTACTCCCATGAGTTTGGTTCCTAGCATAGCTTTCATGTACTTCACTACTGTACAGCAAAGGATATGTGGCTGGCTTCATGTTTACATTTCTCTTTTGATAGAGTGCAGAGTACCTTGCTATAACAAAGAGGCTGAATAGTGGAGGTGAAAGCTCTGTTCAGTCACAAGCCCAGAATATCCATGTTTTATGAATTATACAGGTGTTGTATTCAGAAATGTGGTCTTGATGTCAGTTTTTGTAGAACAATCTGTAGTCTTAGCAACAGCATGTGTTTATTAGAGCTTCTCATGGGATGCATTTGGCCAACAATTCAATTAGATGTACCCAATTTCAGTACTGCAAGTCTTACTTTAGTGACAAGTGATGGCCATTTGGAACACCATCTCCCCCATTAAATTATATTATTTAGAGTGCCTTCTTATGTGTGTATGTTTGTATACACACAAATATAAAAATTTTCTACTATATTAGGTTGTATATATGTATGAAGACTCCCCATGGTGTTCTGTATGCACCTTTTAATTGACAGGTATCTCCTTCTTTAGGTTAGGATATTTTTCTTCTTTTATTTATTATTTATTTTTATTTTACATATCGATCCCAGTTCCCTCTCCCTCCCTCCCTTCCTCCCTCTCTTCCTCTTCCCCTCTCTCTCCCTCCCATGTACCCCAACCACCCTCCCCTTCCATCCCCCCCACTCCACATGTAGGGTGATGCCATCTAGGAGGGGTCATATAAATCTGTCAGGTCATTTGAAGTAGGGACTAGAACTTCTCTAATGTCTCTAGGTTAAGGGAGCATTCCTCCATGGGGGATGTGCCCACAAGGTCCTTTTGCACACCAGAAATACATCCTGGTTCTGCTGTCTGAGGTCCCTTAGACTGCTCAGTCCTTCTGGCTGAGACCCATGTTCAGGGGGTCTGAGTCCCATGCTGGATTCCCAGCTATCAGTCTGGGGGCCCATTTGCTCCTCCTTGTTCAGGTCAGCTGTCTCTATGTGTTTCTGCAGCGTGGTCTTGTCCTCCATCTCTGCATATGGCTTCTAGTTTGGCTCAGTATTTAGTTTGAATGTTTGCTTCTGTTTCCAACAGGTATTAGATGAGGGCTCCATGATGGTGGATAAGTTAGTCGTTGATCTCATTATCAGGGAAGGGCATTTATGATAGCCTTTTCACTGTTGCTCAAATCAAATTGTTAGTTGGAGTCAGTCTTGTGGGTCTCTCGACATTTCTTTAGGTTCAGTTTTCTCTTCAATCTTATAATGGCTCCCTCTTTTATGTTCTCTCTCTCTCTCTCTCTCTCTCTCTCTCTCTCTCTCTCTCTCTCTCTCTCCTGTCTTCTATTCCTCCCCTGACTCAATCTTCCTAGTCCCACGTGCTTTCCTCTCCTCCCCTTCTCTTTTTCCTAGTTCCCTCTCCACTCACTGCCTCCCTCCACTCCCCATGTGCTCTGGAGAACTTGTGCCTTCTACCTTCTGTGAGGGACCTTATATGAATCTCTTAGAATCCACCTTGTACCCTAGTTCCTCTGGTGGTGTGAATTATAAGATGGTGATCCTTTGCTCTATGTCTAAAATCCACATATGAGTGAGTACAATAGAAAGACAAGCATAACACTACCAGAATCTAGGGACTCTACACCAACTAGATTTGAACACCCCAAAGCAGATGAAGCAGAAGAGAATGACTTAAAAATTATCATCATAAAAATGATAGAGATCCTCAAAGACAATGTGAGAAAATCTCTTAAATGGAAGAAAAAAAAAAACCAAACATTTTTCTTCTTATATTTTGTTGAAAATACTTTCTGTGCCATAGGCCTATGTTTTACTTCTTTTCCCTCTATTCCTATTATTAGATATTGGATTTTCTTTTTTATGATAGTATTTTTCAATTTAAATTTGCAACAAGCTTGTATTACATGTCAGTCGCAGTTCCCTCACCATCCCCATATCCCCTATCCCACTCCCAACCCCCATTCCCCCCTTCTGCTCCCAAGGGAGGGTGAGGCCTTCCATGGGGGAATATTCAAAGTATGTCATATCATTTGGAGCAGGGCCCAGGCCTTCTGCCATGTGTCTATGCTCAGAGAGTATCCCTCTATGTAGAATGGGCTCCCGAAGTCAATTCATATACTAGGTATAAATACTGACCCATTACCAGAGGCTACATAGACTGGCCAGTCCTCCTGACTAACACCCAGGGGGTCTGGGTCAGTCCTAGGCTGGTTTCCCAGCTATCAGTTTGGGGTCCATGAGTGCCCATTTGTTCAGGTCAGCTATTTATGTGGGTTTCTCCAGCCTGGTCTTGACCCTTATGCTCATCACTCTTCCCTCTTCACAACTATATTCCAGGAGTTTGTCTCAGTGTTCATCTGTGGGTGCCTCCTTTTGCTTTCATCAGCTACTGGATGAGGAAGGGCTCTAGCATGGCATATAAGGTAGTCATCAATCTCTTTACTGGGGAAGGGCATTTAAGGTAGCTTCTCCACTATTGCTTAGATTGTTAGTTGGAGTCATCCTTGTAGGTCTCTGTACATTTCCCTAGTGCGAGATTTCTCTTTAAACCTATAATGTCTCCCTCTATTATGATCTCTTCTCTTGTTCTAGTCTATTCTTCCCCCAACTCAATCTTCCTGCTTCCTCATGTTGTCCTCTCCCCTGCTCTTCAACTCTTCTGTTTCTCTTAACTCCCTCTCCCCTCCTTCCTGCTCCCAATTTGCTCAGGAGATTTTGTTCCTTTCCCCTTTTGTGAGGGACCATGTATGTCTCTCTTAGGGTTGTCTGTGTTTCCTAGCTTCTCTGGAGGTGAGTTGTAGGCTAGTAATCCTTTGCTCTATGTCTAAAATCCATATATGAGTCAGTACATTCATGTTCATCTTTTTGTGACTGGGTTACCTTGCTCCACTTCATCTGTGATGTTCAGGACTTGCTGGTGTGGAGTCCGTAGACCTTGGTAGTGTCATATTGATCTTTCTGTTGTTGACTGTGCTCTTTTTTGGTTTTTGAGAAAGGTTTTCTCTTTATTGCTTTGGAGCCTGTCTTGGAACTAGCCCTGTAGACCAGGCTGGCCTTGAACTCACAGAGATCCACCTGCTTCTGCCTCTTGAGTGCTGGTTTTAAAGGTGTATGCCACCAACTCTTGGCTGTTGACTGTGTTCTTATACTGTTGTCTACCCATCCCTTCTTCCAGTGCTTATGGTTAAGTCTCTCCCTCTCCTGGCAGATTCCTGGCGGACCAGGGTTCCATTCCGGTGGGTCCAAGCAGGTCCTATACTCCAATGGCTATCCTCTTCAAGTGGGTGGAGGTAGGACTAGGTTGCTGGCAGACACTAGATTGACTATGTTCTAGGATTTGTTACCCCGGGCACAGTCCCCGGTCCTCAGGATGTTCTGAGCAGGGCACCAGAGGATGGGCAACTTCTGTGGGGGTGGCATGACCAGAACACAGGCCAGTCTGGTGGCTGGCCTCCCCAGTGCAGGTGCAGGCCCCAGTGAGGCTACTGGTGTTTCAGGTAAAATGTATGTTTTTCTGGATATAGAAAGATGACACTAATGAATAGGGATGGGCTAGGAAGGGGCATAATAAGGTCCACAAGAGGGAAGATTTCAGTTTCCCACAGGTTATGCTTAGTTAGTAACCTGTAAATGGGACCATGATTGAGGACAGGCCACAGCAGAAGGTTTGATATGAAGCTGCTTCTGAGATTTAGGATTGTACTTAGAAGAATGGATAGAGAGCTAAAGATCTACAGTTAGCCTACCTGCTTTCCTAGTTAGAGAAGACTGTGGGTTCTTAGGTAGTGTCTTTTGCAATTAATATCTAAGAAAAAGTAATGAATAGAGAAAAAAAAACGAGGAGGATAAGATCTATGTGAGCCACTTTAGACAGGAATTTGAAAGAGGGAGGCCAAGCAGATGTTCCATACAAAACTGTGAATAAGACTAGAGGACTGGATTTGGGTGAGTAAATTAAAAAGTGAAGATGTGGATTTAGCCTACCTGCTTCTGTGCCCAGCTTTACCTATAGGGTCCCAAGGAATGCATTCTCATTGCATGATGCCATTTCTTTCTTTATGTCACCTTTTCATCATCCATCTATAGTCCCCCATCTCTGCATCTGAACTCTCAGATGTTTTATTTTCTAATGAACATTTTTTGTTTCTTTTTCATTTAGGACACAAGAAAAACAATAGAGAAGATCTGTGACTTCCTAGGAAAGAAATTAGAGTCAGATGAGCTGGATATGGTCCTCAAGAATATATCCTTCAAAGCCATGAAAGAAAATAAAATGTCCAATTTTAGTCTCATCACAGACGATATGATTCCTAATGGTTTAGTCCTCCTGAGAAAAGGTAAAGACATTTTCTAGATTCAAATATGTCAGAACATTTGGAGGGCTTGTTGTTCCATGAGGAGTCTAAGAAAGAGTTGGGAATATTTCATAATCTATTGCACTTCAAATCATAGTCTTTCAAAGACTTTATAGGGAATCATGTGGGCTTCAAGAATTCTGAAAAAAATATTGATTTTGCTCTGGGAGAGAACTTAAGGAATGTAGAGAGTCATGTGCAATACTTTCAATGGTAAACAAAATGGTAGACATACTGCAATGAGGCTTTGTTAGGCTCCTTGTAACTTGGACCTCAAGTGTACAGAAAATATTTAATGCATGGGGCCAAAGATAAATTTGTGATCATTACCACAGTAAACACTTCCATTAACACCAGGAAAAGATGATGAACATGTCAAAGATTGCTGATGCATACTATCAATACTAAGCAAAATTTTCATCAGTGTTAGAATCTGATGGTGTTTGCCAACCTAAATTTGGATTGTTTCAGGCTCAAGACTATTCTCTTTTTTTCCTGAATTTTCTCTGCTGTGTTGGGAATATCCATATTATCTATGTCTGTGCTCCTTCTCTATGCTTGGAGTAGATGGTGGTTGTGGTTTCATAGCTATAATATTGAGGAAGTATTTTGCCAGAATGAATCATGCTTGGAGTCTCACTTGCACATAATTAACAAATAAGTGTTGATATATGACTCAGATTTGAAGAGGGAATGAGTCATATGTCATGTCTTTTTGTATGAGTAAAGAAAATGTGCATAAAAAAGAAATTGTGCATAAATAAAGGGTGCTGGGAGGTGTGGGTCTAATTTTCTTCTTCCAATAATTTACATGTTTCAGACTTAAACTTCACTTCTCTTCCACCATAGAGTGTAAATACCAGGTTCTAGGATTTAAAGACATGAAGTGTATAAATTGAAATAAGTGAGTTAAAGTTGACAGCAGGTTATTGTAAGGAGTATGGTTTTTCTGCCCACCGCCTGGTCTCGTCCCGCCGCCGCGCCAGCCCCAATTAACACACAGAGACTCTGTATTTGATATAATCCTGTTGGCCAGTTACTATTTTCTTATCGGCTACCTCTATCTTAATTATTAACCCATTTCTATGTATTTCCACGTGGTCTTCTTACCAGGCAGTGGAGCTGGCATCTCATCTCCCAAGTCTCTCCATGCTGACTCTTTCTTACTACTTCCTCTTTCCTCCTTGTCTCTTAGTCCCTCCTATTTCCTTTCCTATTGGCCAATAGTGCTTTATTCATTAACCAGTATGAGAAACATATACAGAATAACATCTCCCATCATTTCCTCTTTTCTGTCTAAATAAAAAGAAGGGTTTTAACCTTAACATAGCAAAATATATAACATAACAGTTATCAAATAAGAATCACAGTTAACAATATTTAGTCCATTAACATTTAGCAAGATTAAAAAACTATTTTATCATCTATCCTAAAGTCTATATGTAACTTATCTATATGTAAAGTCTATATGTAAAGTCTAAAGTCCTATATGTAACTTATCTTTAAGCCTAACTAAGGAAAACTATAACCATAACTATCTGTCTTCAACTCCTTTAAAGACCACAGAAGGATAATATTTAAACTCTAGAAATGACAGAGACAACTCGCCATGTCAGGCACCTGAAGTTTTTCTGTAATCTTCCATCTTCAGTCCATAGGCCATAGTGTGTCTGGTAGACTCTTCAGCAAAGCAGGAAACGTTAAACTGTCTTCTTATATTGGTAGTTTGTTAGTCACTTTCCTCTATGTCCTGCAGACTGTCTGGCAGACTCTTCCATGAAGAAGGAACTCTGTAGCATTGTCCATCTTGAATCAGCAGTCACTTTTCTGTGGGTCCTGCATGTCCAGTTTATACAGCATAAAGTCAAACAGTCCAGACAAGAGCAGTATCTTGTCCAAATGGCTAGTCTTGCCATATTGGAAGTAAACTTCATAACGAGTTTGTTTCTTTAATGTCCATCTTCCATTCTGATGCAGGTGGTGTTGCCAGGAGCAGTTATGTCTCACTGTCAAGAAAAACCCTAAACCGTTTCAAATGTCATATTCTGTAGGTCTTTGAAAGGTTTGAAGAATTCCTATCTATCTCAAATAAATCTCTATATATCTAGAAAACCTAACTCACCTAGCTATAAGTTTTTACTATTATAGGTAACTATCTAAAATCTGTACTAAATTATACATTACATTTCTAACTGAGCTATATAAAATATAAAATACAATATCTAAACAAGAGAAATATAGATATCACAAAATTGACCTTAAATTGTATCACTAAATGAAAATCCATTCCAAAATGAAGTACATGGAAAGTAACTAGTGAAAATTTTATCAGAGGTGTACAGAAGCAGAGGCAATTGAATTGAGGACACAATTCCATGAGGACAGATCTCATTATTTTCCAGCTGGATTCTTCCAGGATGAGACCACAGTAGGATTTTGGTTTAATCTCTTTCAAACCATAGTATTTTTCATTTGCCATATATGCTAGAAGGAAATATATATATATGTATATATGTATATATATATAATAGATAATTAAATTATCGTAATGATTATATGTGATATCCATTTATTTTGCATTTGAAGGTAACTTATACTTTAGAAAATTGTTTTTATTATAGTAAAACTCACAAGTCATGAGTCTCACTGGAAACCAGGTCATTGAGGGGAGAGGCCAACTTCATTGCCCACCCCTCCCTGATTCATGAATTTAGAATAGAGGATGCTGATATGAATATACTGTGAAACACTTCTAAAACATAAAACACTTGAGAATACTTCCGGTCTTTTCAAATAATACACATGGTTTGTTCCTTCTTTCCAGTCTTGAAGTTATGAGAAGATCAAAGTTTAACTCATTCCTTTCCATTACATACCCATTTACCTAAATCATAATGCATGAAAAACTATGTTACATGTTATGCTGGACTTAGCTGGGAAGCATTTTCTAGCGCTACTCAAGGAACAAGAAAAATGCGTCTGAAGAGTTACTATTTAACTGGGAAACTTAGTCATCTGGCTTCTTAGGATTAATATGGTTTGAGCCTTCAAACAACAATTTATAGAAACAGTTTTGGTCATTGTGATTCCATATTTAGATACTACAGAAAATGCAGACCATAGAGATGGTCATTACAATTCAGCCATTGGTTAGTAGGGAGAGCATTTATGATGATATTGTCACAATCAAGACATGTTATAGGAATTGTCTTCTGACAAACTTCAAATATATTGAACCCCATTAGTTCACAGTGGTGTTTTCATGAGAGAGTGTTTGAGCCATTAAACATTTACACTGGTTTCTTGAGAAGACATTAATCTGAGACACAGAGGGAAGAAGAACTAGGTAGAAGTCCACTATCTTAAGACCAAAAAAGAAAAATGAAACCCAGAGAAGGTCTGCACAACAAACTCTTGTGGGAACTAATGCCTCCAGAACTATGAGGAAGTTCCTTCCTAACAAAAGTTAAATCACCATGAATTATGGTTATCCTGTCTGCTGACACCAGAATTTGAATAGATTTTAGAAAGAAGGAATGAAGAGAAATACATGCTTGTATGCTCACAGGATTTTGACATAGTTGGACTTAGAAGTTCATGTGTGTACCTGAAAAGACATGTTTCTCTCATGTGGACTGATTTATTCCAGTGGGCAGTCATACTGAATTTTCTGAGATTCTTGTGACTTGGCTTCCAGTCTGTCCTGTCAGGAGCCAGGCATGCTGGGAGAAACAATACCAAAATTTATTCTAATAATGAAGTTGAGAGTATCAATGTATATTATAGTTACCCATTTTTTTTTCAAGAGAAAGGTTGTGTTTTATTTTCTGAAATGAGCACAAAGTACACCTTTCACAATAACACTGAAAGCAGGTGCAAAGACGGACAGTGACCTTTGACTAAAGGTTATAGTTACCCATCTTAACAGATGACAATATTATAGTCATATCAATTAATGCTATCTATTTGATAATGCTGTATCAATCATTACCAATTAATTATGAATACTTTACATTTTCTTTTATAATACCATTGGGGATTTGATGTTAACTTTACATGATACAAAAGAAATGTAATGTGATAAGAAAAAGCATGACTCCTATTTTCAGTCTTTTTGGCTTCAAATCCACATTTATCACTATCATTTGGGGTAAATATCTTAAGGACTAATTTTCCTCATCAGCAAAGTGGGGGGAAAAGACCAGTACCTTCTTCACTCATTCATGAATGCTTTCAACAACTCTGTATTGAGTGTGTTATATTTCTGGTATGATTTGATAATGAAGCCTCTGGTGTTATTAGAAACACTTTACTTTTCAAGTATACTAGATACATATTTCAGGCTTTTATACCAAAAGGAAATGTGTAAAACTTGCCTACCTATGAAATAAAATAAGCAGAGATGAGGGCTTCAGAGTTGTCGATGGAAGGAAGATAGGAAGAGGGCTTCACAGTGTCATTAATAAGGGAAGAAAAGTACAGGAAGTGAGTATATGGATAACATCAGCATTCTAGGGTGAAGAAACACACAATGCAATGTGAGCCATTACACATTTTGGCATCTCTATTGTCAAAACTAAATACATACTAGAATAGAGTGATAAGAAACGATGTATAGGAAAGGTATGGTAAAAATATCATGTAGACTTTCATGCATCACCAAACACCATATTGACTGAAACAGATATCACCCAGGACTGAAACTGTTCTAGCTGGCAGTAGCCTGGTCTCCTCATCTGATGGAAGGATCAAGATGATTAGCCTATATCTCACCACAGTGTGTATCTCCAACTTCAGGGGATCTGATACCTAAATCCACCAGAGGCACCTGTATTCATGTGCACCTATGCACACATAAATTAAAATTAATAATAGAAGATGTTTTAAAAGTTTCTTGCATGATTTGCATAACTTCTATATGTAAAAACTAAAAATGTAAAGAGAACAATTGAAATCTGCTTGGATAATTGCTATAAGAAACACAGTTGGGTTGGATAGTGTGATGGAAGCAGGTGTAAGGGGATGCAGGAATAATCTGGACATATATTAAGGTAGAGCCAGTTTTGATGCTGTTAGATTGTATGATTGATACACTGGGACAGAAGAAGGAAAGACTATGTCCTCACAGGTAAACGTTTGCATATTATTTCTGGGCATAAGGCATTTTCTCCAGGACGTCACCACAGTCCCACTTTTACCCGTGTGGCCCTTGTCAAGCAGACGCTAAGAACATGGGGAGGAAGGCGTGAGAGCAGAGCTAAGATCACCATTAACCCGTCTCTGTGTCTGCTTCACCTTCTCTAGGCGTAACTGGGGACTGGAAGAATCACTTTACAGTAGCACAAGCTGAAGCCTTCGATAAAGTATTCCAGGAGAAAATGGCCGGGTTTCCTCCAGAGCTTTTCCCATGGCAATAACCACTTAAGACTTCATGTATGGACAGCTAGGTGTAATTTTCTGTATATGTGAATGATTGCATGAGGTCATAGAATAAATCCTGTTACTGAATTGTGTAGTTTTTTTTTTTTTTTTAAGATTTTAGTAGTAGCATTAGAAGTAGTGGTAGTAGCACTGGAGTAATAGTAGATCTAACATGTGTGTATGTCTCTGCGTGTGTGCATGAGTGTGTGTGTGTGTGTGTGTGTGTGTGTGTGTGTGTACTCTATCATCCAGAAGAGTTCATTTGTCCCCACAGAATTGCAGTTACATGTTCTGTAATGCTCCTGCTTTGTGTCCAAGGAACTGAACTCAGATTCTCTATAAGGGTAGTACAGTGCTCTAGACCTCTCAATCAACTCTCCAGCCCTGAAACTTAGACTCTTGAGTCATCAGATATTTGCTTCTTTTATTGCTGGCTTGGCATGCATTATCAGCTAACACCAATAGGCTTCATGGAATTTCAGCTTAAAAACAGTCCCTTTAATATTTTAAACAAACAAACCAACAAACAAAAAACAGCATGAGAAGCTAAGAAATTTTCATTCTGTGTCATTTGGGCCAAAAATCTAAATGAATTGTATTTAATTTATTGACCTTGAAACCTTATGTTTTCAAATACCCTATGGTATCAGACATTTATAATCTAACATGTCTGGTCAGTATTTTATACTTGTATTTCATTTTTTATTATTTTTTTGTAAAGTTTAGAGGGTGTACAAAATATTGGGCTTCACAGTGAAACTTCAATGCGTTCTTACACATCATTGTTATTTACTCAACTTTGCTTTTCTACTGCCTAGCGCTGCCCCTTTGCTTCTGCTAGTAACTTCTTCTCCCACAAAAACCTGCTCTGTTTGCACGTTATAGAGATGCACTTATATCCATATAGGAGTTTTCAGAGAGGAGAAAGAGTGTAATATGGTCTTTCTTTTTGCGGTTAAGCAGGAGTTTCTTTTTTTCCCGTGCTCGATATGATGGAGCATACAGCCAGGAGCACCTGGAAGAGTACAGAGCAGGTAAAGAAAGTATTAGACTTCAGAGGAGGTCAGGCCATGAGGACGGGAGCAAGAGAGAGGACCAACAGAGAGAGAGCTGAGAGAGAGTACCAAGAGGGCGTATGGTCAAACGGGCAGGTCGCTATAGGAACCAGAAGCTGAGGAAGAGAACCCTGTGATCTGCAGAAGCTTAGGGTAGAGGCTCGGTGAGACCAGCTCATGTTAACCAGCAATGATTCCTGTTTGAACTCAGTAGCAGCTACTTATTCACAGAGCTTGGAGAACAGCATGCACTTTTTTTTTTCTTTCTCATTTTACATATCGATCCCAGTTCCCTCTCCTTCCCTCCTTCCCCCCTCTCTCCCTCCCTCCCATGCCCTCTCTCCAGACCACCCTCCAATCCCATTCCCCCCCACTCCACAAGGAGGGTGATGCCTTCCAGGAGGGGTCAACAAAAGCTGTCAAGTCATTTGGAGTAGGGACTAGGCCCTCCTTCATGATAATAGGCCGTTGGCCCTGAGTTTCTTTTGGGCTTGACTTCCCAGCCTTTTTGTTGATTAAAGGGCAGATGTAATCTATCTGTAACTTCCTCATAGCTTAAATTAGGACATTGTCAGGACCTTGGAAGTTTTGAGTGCTGATCCAAGGTTAGGAGGAAGGTAAGAAATGCAGGCTTCCCAGTTTGTGTGACCACCTAAGTGCTAGCAAAATGCAGAGAGCTTTGGATCAATCTGAAAGTTCTGGTTAAAAGGAAGGCTCGGGCCAGTTAGGAATTTTATTGGCAGCATCTGGTTTACATTGCTTTTTATGTATCCAGGGCTGTCTGGTTTCCATTTGGAGCCCTTTACAGCCTTCATGTAAATAGAAAACCGATGGATCAGAAAACGATTAAAGAAAGAGGATAATGTTAAGGAGCGTATTGGAAAATATTTTTCTTGGCTGTGCCTTAGAAACTTCCAGACCCGCACTCCTGGTCTTAAGAGTAGGGGTAGCAGAGAGAGAAAGTGAGGAAGAACCTACTATACCCAGAAGGTAGGTGGGGAAGTTTGTTTAAGCTGCTGATTGACAGGGTACATATCTGGAGTCTGTTTGACCTGTGACATGTGGATCCAAGTCACGATTCCTGGAAAATTACATGATTTTTAATGTTTACAAGAATACACACACACACACACACACACACACACACACACACACGATACATAAGCATTGTCACTGCTTATAATCTGTACTGAAATCCTCACTGTAGAGAAAGCAATTAACAGGCATCTAAAACAACTGTAGTGTACTCTAGTAAACACACGCTTTAATGTCATAGCAAAAGCTATGGCTTTGGGTTCAAAGCATGAACACATTTTCCTCAGTCCAGAGGTATGGATATACAAAGATTAAAATAAGATGTTTTCATCACAACAAGAAGCATGTTTAAGTCTATACCTTGAAAACAACAAAAGGAATTTTAAATTTTTGCCTAGCTGGTTTCTTTCCAGCCTGTACCTGCCACCCTTCTCAGAGCCAAATAAACACACAGAAACATTTATTAATTATAAAACTGTTGGCTGAAGGCTATGACTTCTTATTGGCTAGCTCTGTCTTAAATACCAGTGATCCACCTGCCTCTGCCTCCTGAGTGCTGGGATTAAAGGTGTGTGCCACCAGCGCCTGGCTATTTTAAAGTTTTATCTTGTTTTTTTTTTCTGTCTATTTGTCTGGGTGTGTGTATTCAAATGTTGGTGAACTGCATGTAAAGGACAGAAGAGGGCATCAGATACCCCAGAGACTTGAGTTGCAGTGGATAGTAAACTAAGATATGGGTGGTGGGAACTAAATCTCCATTCTCTGAAAGAGAAGTGTGTTTTCTTAAACTCTGGACCCTTTCTCCAGTCCCTACTTTATTTATTTGATTGACTTGTAAATACTGTCACCCTTATAGAGAATGGGTTTGCATAAGTGCTCACCTATTCTTCATGAAGGTCCATGTTCAATACCCAGCAACACCTGTAATCACAGCAGTCAGGAGATGAAGGCAGGAAGGCCAGAATGTCAAAGTCATCCTTAGCCATATATGGAGTTTGAGGCTAGCCTGAACTACAGGAGACAGTGCCTCAAAAAAGATAATAGTTTTTCACAAGTAACCAAGCATGTCTGTGAGAGCATGGAATACAAGTGCACGGACATGGTAGCTGGAGCTTGGATTGGAGATGAGTTGGCAGAAAATGGATACATAAGTATTAGGAGTATAAGGTGTTTGTCTGATACACAGTGAATTGTAGACCAGCCTGAAGTACATGCGAGCCTGTATCCAAGAAAGAGATGAGCATGGGTCACATACTTTTAATCCTAGTGCTCAAGAGGAAAACTCAGTGGATCTTTGAGAATTTGAGGCCAGTATGGTCTTCATTGAAAGTTCTAGGACAGCCAGGGTTACGGAGTGACAAAATGAATAAAGAGATGAGAATGTCTGAAAAGGTTCTGTTAAAACACGCAACAGAATTCACATGAGATGGTGCTGGCTCCACCATTTGTGTGTTCAGCAACAAATTAATCTCATCTCATACACCAATGAGCTGGGAGAGCTTGGGGAACCACCTTTGCTCACTCAAGCCTAAGCTGTGACACTGGTCCACTATGATAATTAGTCTTATGTGTTTTTCTGCTTATAGGTCTGTCCATGTGCCTGCATGTCCACAACTGCAGTTCCACAAAAACTTCAATTACAGATGTTTGTGGTCTGCCACATAGCTGCTGCAAATTGAACCCAGATCCACTGGAAAAGCAGCCCACACTCTTAACTATTGAGTCATCTCTACAACCCCCAGACATTCTCTTAAGGTAGTTCAGCATACACACTGTCCTTTCTTCTCACCTCACATTTGATCTAATTCTATCCTGCCCCCACTGAGAACTCGTGGCCTAAGAAGGTTGGAGCATTTACTAAATGAGAATAAATCAGGCATAGAACCAAGCTGTAGTGCGAAAATGGCCATAAGAAGACAAGCGACACTACCAGGAAATAGGAACTTCATGCAAAGTATTCAAAAGGAAGCAACATTTGCAAAATAACAATTCATTTATTTGTGCTCAAACTGTCAAGTGAATATAAGTTAAAATGAATGACAATCATCAAAGTTCCTGAAAACTGAATACACACAACAACAGAATTCTGCATATAAAATATGTATTGGTAAAACACCTCTTGTGCACAAAGGATACTCTGGGTTATAGTTAGGAGAGCAGGAGTCCAAGGTCATTTTCTGTCTCATGACAGTGCAAGCCCTGCCTGGGCAGCATTAGACCCAATCTCAAAATAAAATTTATATATATATATATATATATATATATATATATATATATATATATATCAATGTCTTAGGGTTTCTATTGCTGCAAGGAAAGGAAATTAAAAAAAAAAAACTAAATGGAGGGGACAGGGTTGACTTATGCTTCCATATCACTATGCATCAATGAAAGAATTCAAACAGGGCCAGAAGAGGGAGGCAAGAGATGTTGCAGAGGCCATGGAGGGGTGTCTCGTACTGGCTTGTGTATTATAACTGGCTCAGCCTGCATTCTTATACAACTAAGAATGACCATCACAGTCAGAGCACTAATGGTAATGATAATGTGGTGGGCCCTCCACCATTATTCACTAATTAAGGAAACGACATGCAGTGGGATCTCATGGAGGCATTTTCTTCAATCAAGTTTCCTCCTTTCAAATGATGCTAACTTGATTCCAGTTGACAGAAAATGGTCCAGTGCTATCCAGTCGGAATGTTGAGAGTGGGAGAAAGTCTTGTTCAGGAAAGATCTCCCAAATTGTTTATCCAAAACAAAAATGGTCAGCACTAAAAGCACACAAGTCAAAATATACAAACTGAGTTTCATATATATGAAACTTCTATCTAAAGTTTTTTTTTAGTATTAATATATACTAAGGAGTCAGTTATTGGGGGCAGATCAATTAGAGAAAGTGGTGGAGTGATGATCAGGTGATCTTGCCTCTCTGTTTTCCTTATCAAGAAGGCTAAGAATCTCACCAAGCTCATCATTATCTGTTCCTGTTCCTCTATCTCTGCCCTCCAATGTAACTATAACTAATTCTGGTCAGCTAGTCATGGATCCAGGCCCTTAATTCAATTGAACTTTATTAACAGTCTTGGCTTATCAC